CCCTTGACTGATAAAATATAAAACAGAACAGACTTAAATTACTAACTGTGTCTACGGTAAACTGAATGCCTTCGTTTTAAAATACATTAGTCTCAGAAGACCCAAAGCTACACAGAAAATGACACTGTCTACAGAAAGTGCCCATGCACAACATTAACGTTACATGGCAAGAGACATTTTGGTGTTCAAGTAATCATTCAACCTCAATCATATGCAGATTACTAGATGGTAGGTACAGCTCATTCCCGAATCTCTGCTCAGGCTTTTAAGTCAATCTTAAAGTTCATCATTAAACAAATTATACTTAACTAAAATGTTTAACAGAACCGTGCAGCAACACACAACACTTCTCCAAGCTCCCTACATAGTACTGTCCTTGCCCAGTGGCACCACAGTGACTACAGCCAGACAAGAACTCAAGGGCGCACACAAGAAAACCATCAGGTTATCTAAGTTTTCTTCCCATTTTATTTCCTCCGAGATAGAATCACTACTCTGAACAGCGTGCTTCTTTGAGTACGGTATTAAGACCTAAATCAAATCAGCTGCTCCCTACAAGTTTTTTATCCGGAAGAGCAACAATAATAGTATCCTAGCATTAAATACACAACTTTAAGACCACTGCATCAGAATTTTTATTTTTAGACCAATCCATCTTACAAAGCAGCACAGGACATGCATACAGTTTTGAATATAATCGGTACCTGCCAATGAAATAATCTGGACATGACTTTCAGCTTCAATACCAAGATCATTTCAGCACTGCACATTCAAACCAAAGAACACATACCCTAAATGTTCCTTGAAAACGGAATGTTGATAGATTCAGTCCAAAGCACCAAACCAGTTAGGTCTAGTCTGCTCTGTCAGAAATGGTATATTAGGCCAATCAGCTAGAAATTGCTAGCCATTACTGAAAAACAAAACTTTTTCCATTTTCATTCAAAGACGCATTGTTTCTCTGCCAGACTTTTCCTCAAAAATGCCGATTATGACAAGAAACCAGCTCCTACAGTTTAGTATTCGCCAGTATTTATCCAACAGGAAGACTCAGAATGAAAGCGTTCATACAAAATCGTAACAACATGCCTCAGGAACACTTAAGTTAGAACATAGTACAATTTAAACTTAAATTGGATTTGATCAATTCTTGGGACAACTGAAGGATTATTTTACCTGTTACCACCACCACCACCTCCTCCGCCTCCACCTCCATGACTCTCCATCCCATAGGATTGGTTAAGGTAAGAGTCCATGGATCGTGGGCCACCATAGCCTCCATGCCCATAATCACGGTCCATGTCTAAAAAAAGAGCAGAAAAATGTTTATAAAGAAAGCAAGCAAGAAGTCTTATTAAGTAATCTAGCTTAAATTCTTAAGTAAACGCCCTACTCTTTGCCACAGTGCTTACAAACAAAATATCAAATCTGCCAGTTGCAAACCAATTTCAACACTGTGCTTAGGGAAGCCATTTGTCTTGTCATCTGAGCACCTCTTAACTGGAATCAAGTTCACATTTTTTCCCAGTAGTAACTCACTCAGAATAATTGTTCCATCAGCTGCAATTCGGACGCAAGTTAAATGAAGAATATATATGATAATGGAGAAGCCCGATGTAGAATATATCAGAGGTTAATGAAGAATTCAGACCACTTCCCACTTTTCAATAATACAGGCAGCTAACTGCTTCCTACACCAAACACCACAAGAAACCTTCCCCTACATTGACCCTGGGTCAAGGTTACGAGCTCTCATGCTGCAGGGCAGACTCTGTATATAGGCTACAATCAAACAAGCGGATTTTCTCCCATCTAGCACCAACAAAAATCCATCCAGATCAGCACTGACTTGTAGTCTGCTAACTACAGTAAGATGTCAGTATTTCATAGCTAAATTGATGTCACTTCATGACATCTTTGTATCTTGCAATGAAGTCTGGCAAAAGAAACAACTTCTTCCTCAATACTGAAAGTCCTATGTAAAAGTTCTGGTTAAATAACCACTCAAACTCAAAGCACAGAAATAGTATTGTAGAACTGCATAACTAAAGTATGATTCACTGTCTCCCTGTAACACACACAGGACTGGCCTTTCACAGGCATTCTAGCCACAAAAACTGTTTCCCAGTACCAAGCAACACTAACTTTTGGGTAACAAAAAAGAAGCCTGCCAAATCAAACCCCACAGAAAAGGTAACCCAGTGAAGGAAGACAGTTGACACAGGAAGAACAACAACAAAACCACACAAAGACTTGTCCACACTGACAAGAGAACATTTTATACATTTCAGTATCACCAAGTGTAAATTATTGACTTCACAGAAGATAAACAAGACAGTAAGCTCACTTGAAGTCACAAGAAACCCTCCTGCTTAAAGAAACATAGTAATTCCCTGTGCATATCATTTCATGAAAGTAACTGCAGTGCTGAAAGTAAGTACATATACTATTTCCTGTTTGTATCTGCTTCTTGTTAGCGCCAGCCACTGTCACTTTCTTACATCTGCCAACAACAAGAGTTTTGGCAAATAGTATTGAGCTGACTGTATGACTTACACACAGACGTTCTTAGCATGCCCGGATAGACTCCAACAAACGAAGATCTGCTGATTTTTCTTCTAATGATCACAGAATGGTAAGGGTTAGAAGGGGTCTCTGGGGATCCTATAGTCCAACACCCTTGCCAAAGCAGGTTTGCCTAGATCAGGTTGCATAGGAATGCATCCAGGTGGGTTTTGAACCCTATGGTCATAGGTATTTTCTAAAAAATTAACGATTATACTTCTGAGACAAAAAACAACTTTGAAGACGGAAGTCATGCTGCACCTTTTCATATTCCAATCATACCATAAAGACTCCACAGCCTAGTACAAAACAAGCTCTTCAAAATACTCATGTAGCACCACAAAGCATCAACTTAAACTGCAGTAAGTTATTCTTTAAAGAAATGGCTGAGCCTTCTAACACACGCATCTAATACTCCTCTCTGGTGTGAACTGAATGATCTACCACCTAATCCACTGGAATATCCTCAACACTGCCTACAAAAAGATGCAGGCCAGTAAAAAAAAAAAAGAAAAAAAAGGTAGTCAATAAAATAAATTCAGTTTCACAAAAAATAAGTTCATATGATCACATGGTCAACCTCAGATCTAAGGTTGCTTGGGGTTTTGTTTGTCCATGGTTTTTTTTTAAATACAGTCTATCCAATCAAGAGATACTGATAATCTTAAAACTGAAATATCAGACCTGAAAGCACTCAACAATTTGCCTTAGTTTCACCTACTTCCTAGTATCTACAGACCCCAAGATGGCACAAAAATAATCTGGTTAAGAGTTAAAGAAGTGAATCAAATCATTCTATGAGGAAGAACACAACATGCTGTCAAGATTCCTACCACTGCAATCCAACTCTGTTATAGTGTACTAACTAGTGCCTAGCGGTGTCCATATGCCAGAAGTTCACTACTGGGAAAAAACCAAAAACATTCACATGCAAAAGAACTCTTCCAAAAAATGGTCTGACATAAGTTTGACACAAATTATTAGTGTAACATTTTTAGCATGAAAGCTTAAACTACTAAAATCTGTTTTACAATCACAGGATAACTTATGACATCCACTTTTGCTCAACATTACTCATCCATGATTCATGTTATCTGACACCAGCAGTCTTGCTGTAGAGCTATACCAGCCCTTAAATTGTCAAATCATTGCCTGTAGGACATTTTGTCCTTTTCAGACAATGCACTGTATTTGCCTACAAAGGTTTAGAGGGGATACAAAAGGTACAAAAAAGTGAAAAGGGATGATCACTCGCATGATTTTCTACAAGAAACAAGGCTTAGCAAATGAAACAAATGAAAAATGAAATTACCCTTTTTCACAAACATACACTGAATCCTGGAACTGGTCTGTGATTATATGTTACTAAAGATTTACAGTTTTAAGAAAGAAAGTGGATAAATCCAGTGACAAGAAGCTCAAAGAATGCTGAACACAAAGACTATGTCTCCGATTCAGAAAGTCCCCAAGATGCAAACCAGTGAAGGCACAGAAGTAAAGGGAATACAGATACTATGCCTTCCACAGCTCCAAACCAACAGGGACATAAAGGACATTGGTGAGGTGGGACAGACTTGTCTTCGACCTGACCTTACAAAACTAATCCTCTGACCTCCTTCTGGCACTAAGCTTTTCTTTACTCTGAACGTCTGTTCTCCAGATAGGCTTTATCCTAGAAAGGGGGAAATCATACAAGAAAACAGGAAATATTTGCTTAGACAAACCAAAATAAAAGGATTTCAATTTTTGAATGTAGCAGCTGAGTATTAATCACTCACACAATTTTAATTATTACTATTTCAATGTAAATAGATTATTAGTTGACAAACCTCGTAACCACAGACATCTGAATCCATTCACACAGCCTGTCACACTTTTGATTCTTCTTCTACTAACTAAAGCAGCACAGATGGACATAAGGCATTAAAAAAGCAGAATCTGCACAGAACAACTTTCTCTGCCTGCAGCCTACTCCCTGTTCATTGCTACGTCACCCCTGGCTGTCACCACTGGTGGAGAGATACAGAAGGATCTGTCCTGTCTGCAGAAACTGTTAAGATTAAATGTGAAATTATTTCACATGCTAAGAGAGCATGTGCTTAAGTACTAGAGAAAAAACACCAGGAATTGTAATGCTGTCTCTCAAACTGAAAATTCAAAAGTGTAGTACTTCATTGAAGTTTAAACAGTAACTGTTTATCAAAGTAACCTTTAAAAAAATATTGCATGTATCTATGCATAGTACTGAGAGAAAAAAAAAAGTTCATATTTGCTCCTGCAGTTTAAAAAAGTAAAACTCTGAACTGATAAAGGCACTTTTACAAATTATCTGCAAGTTTGTTGCAGGAATGAATCAGGGTTTGGTATCTGCAGCCTCTGGCATAAATATAGTGTTGGTAAATGAACTGTTGAACTAGAGTACAGAAACAGAATTGCATAGAATAATCTCACTTTTCATTTCTAAATGATACATAGAAGTTTACTTGGGTAGGGGAGAGGGGAGAAGAGTTATGTCAAAGAGAGAGAAACACGTATTACCTCAAAAAATAAAATAAAAAACCACGAATGGGACACTAAAAGACAAATTCAATTTACAGAAGAAAATTATAATATACATGTATTCTCTCAGATTAAGGAGAAAAAAAAAAAAAAGCCCTATGTAGTGGACAGATCATTTACAATAGCTGCAAAATAAATCTCAATAGCCAGCAAAGGAAAAAAAAAATCAAAAAGTTTCCTTAGGAAAAGAACTACGAAGTTAAACATGTAGTAGATAAGACTCAAAATCCCTTGGTACAAAGGACTCAATATAAAAGAAAAAGCTCAAGATCAGGAAACACTGAAATATTCACAACAAAGAAACAAATTTCAACAGTGTTCTCCATGCAGACCATATGAAAAGTCTAGCAAGATGAGAAAGATCTCGCAGTAATAAATAATACATAAAAAAAAAGAAATTCAGTAAAATAAAAATAACCCTTAAACCATAAAAATCAGAAGTACTGGCTTGAAACAAGCTTAATTTCCTTACATTTTTAATTCATAACCCACAATGACTACGACAACCTTAAAAATTCATTGTGCAATACTACACAACATTTTTTCCAAGCACATTCTGTTTTTCATAACGCCATACCTGCTTTACGATTGCAACCTTATCTTTAGATACAGAAGTTTTAACTCAACGTTAAGTCCCAAAACAAGGAATCAATCCAACAATGTAGATATTTTTGGAAACAGCAACAGAAGCCATTTCCCCTTACAGACTAAAAGGACAATAGTTACATTAACAAAAGTATTAATATAACTGGTTAATATTTCTGTTAAATGTATTAGCAGAATATATTCTACAGGCCACATCACCTCTGCCTCAAACCGAGACATCATCACGGGACAATGGTGGGTTTACAACGGTCATCGGCCGTTCAGTGAAAAGCATTTCACACAAAAGTTTCCAACAGGACGAACCCTGCCAAAAACTCAAATGAAAACTGGGCAAAGACGAAAACTCTGAAGATTTATCCTCTACTGCCATCTACTGGATCCCTACAAAATAGCCTTTAACCCGCTGCACAGATTCGGGGGAAAACAAAGCTTTACACATGCCTTACTAACATATAAATGTTAATGTTCAATGTTTTAAGCTGCATACAACCTAATTAAGACTGTTTAATAACTACGGATAATAGAAAGCTTACTTATCACGATGAAAAACATTATTACAGATATACATGAAAGGAACAATCTAATTGTGCAACATACATTTGATTGATTACTTGCCATAAGATGAGCCTGGATTCACTTTAATACTGTCATCATCAGATCTTGGAAAAACAGGTTCTAGGTAATGGCTACAATGAATATTCCAGTAAGAAACAAACTGCCACTTAACAAGAACCTATTCTACTAAAAAAATTTAAAGGACATTTAATCAGGAAACAATACAAAGGATTACAAACAGGGCCATAGCTTTTATCTATTTTACTACGAAGAAAGATAAATGCAAAATAATATAAGTAGCAAAAAAGCTAAGACTTATGGAACGTATCATAAAAACAATCACACTACAACCAAAGATGCATCTGTAATCCAACGTGTTATTTCCGCGTAACAGCCAGCAAGACGACCAAGAGATTCAACAGCAAACACTTCTTTGATGACAACTGTAAATGAAGCTTAGGTACAGTTTATGGTAAAATTTTTATATTAACAGTTTTAGTACTCGTCTGCATGCTGGCAAGAGATGCAAGTCATTTCTTGAGTCTTACTAAACTCATAAACTTATTTAGTTTACAAAAAATTGTGCATTCCTTTTTGCTGTATCTATGTGGTATTTTTGATGGGGTAGAAACAAGAGCTAGCTAGCTTTTCCTGTATCACATTTACTTCACATGCTTTCTATATTCCTTCCCAAATGATAAGTTTTAAAGAAAAGCACAAACAAAAATAGAAATCAAAAAGCTCCAGGTTCTGTTTTTTTCCATGTCTGTATAAAAGTTGTAAGCATCCTTTTCCTTTTAAATAGTAGTAAGAATCAAATACAGTAGACCATAAGAAAATAAAACACTGATTTATGCAAAAAGCATCATTATCTTAAAAGTATGTCCCCCCCCCCCATCCCACTCCTTGATCTCAGAATTTTGATTTGGAATGTGCAGGAGTTCATGTCGACATGCCCAAGATGAAAATCAAGTCTCACTCCCAGCCAGTTATAACTCCTCCAGAAAACAACATGTGCAGTCAAACCACGTTATGTACTTTTAAACACCCGTTTCTTTCTTGTTTTTCTCAACACTGACTGTTCAGCCCCAACGCTTTGTACAGGTTAGATTTATTTATAGCTCATACCTGAGACTGACCCACTGGGCATGTTCACACCACAATGCATGGGGGTATCTGGGAATCTCCAATCTCTGTCTTCAGCTGGAGAGGATGGGTCAGTGAGAATGACTTAGTGCTTAGCAAGAGCTGGAGGGGAGAGACAG